AAAAAAAAAAAAAAAACTTAGTGATGAATGCTTCTGATGGAAGTTTGGAAAAAGTGATATGGAAGCTTAGTAGAGAGAATTGTACTTGTAAGTATACCTGTAATCTCAGGGACTTGAGGCTAAGGCAGGAGGATTGCAAGTTCAAGGCCAGCTCGGGCAACTTGGCAAGATTATGTCTCAAAATTAAGTGAGACAGATTAAACCTTGGGATTTAAGCCCCACTGTTGCCCTCTCTCTAAAGGATATTGGCCATATTTCACTTGAGTCTTGAAAAGGAGGTTCACCAGACTGGTATTGTCCTTCCCAACAGAAACCTCTATCTGCCCCATGTTTGTTGCCCAGGTTGTGGGGCATTGGTAGTTAATATTAAAAATAAAGTGTTTGCTTTCCCCTTAGACCTGGGCATAGTAGTGTCTTCAAAGACATAGGCACAGCAAACTGACTCCACTCAGCCCCTCCCCATATCCTCCCCTCTTCTCAAAGCAATCGAAGGCATCTTTGTTTTCCTACTAGGTGAGTTGTCTATGGAGGAGCTACTTAAGCAGTATGCAGGAGCCTATGCCTCTGATGCTTCTGCTCCGGGATCTGGGAGTAGTGAAGAAGATGAAGATGAGGAGGTTGAGGCTAACACCTCTGAATGCGAGCCAGATGGGGCCACAGAAGCTGAAGAGGCTCCTCATGAAGATAGTAGCAGCCAGTCAGGTGATAGTGTGTTTTGAGGCAGGAACTGGGGAAGGGCTGGGTTGGAGGAGCAAGTATGGTAAGCACTAAGCCTTGATCTTATGGTGTAGATTCTGCTGAGGAACAGAGCGAGGATGAAGAAGATGAGCATTCAGAAGAGGAAGAAACAAGTGGGAGTTCAGAATCAGAGGAATCTGAGTCTGATGAATCTGAGGATGCTGGATCGCAAAGCCAGGCAGATGAGGAAGAGGAGGAAGATGATTTTGGGGTGGAATACTTACTTGCCCGTGATGAAGAACAGAGCGAGGCAGATGGAGGCAGTGGGCCTCCCACGCCAGGGCCCACCACCACTCTAGGTCCTAAGAAAGAAATTACTGACATTGCTGCAGCTGCTGAAAGTCTCCAGCCCAAGGGGTACACCTTGGCCACAACCCAGGTATCCTCAGGCCCCTGCTTTTCTGCTTTCTTACATCTTAGCATTCCAGTTTCTAATGAGAATGTCTCAGTTTCACTGTGGTAATTCTTTTTTTTCCCTTCCTGCCAGGTGAAGACACCCATCCCCCTCCTCTTGCGAGGCCAGCTCCGGGAATATCAACATATTGGGCTTGATTGGCTGGTTACTATGTATGAGAAGAAACTTAATGGGATTCTTGCAGATGAGATGGGGCTAGGGAAGACTATTCAAACCATCTCCTTGCTTGCTCACTTGGCTTGTGAGAAAGGTAAGGAGGTAGGACCCTTCCTGAGCCCTCTTGGCCAACTCCCTGAGGACCTAATTCAGTGGTGATTTTAATGAGGTGAAATACTTGTCTCTAGGAACTGCTCCTGGAGGATAGTGTAGGTGCTTTGGTTCTTAGGGATAGTCATTCATAGGAGAGGATGATCAGGAAACAAAAGTTCACATACTCTTATTATGTCTTATTCCTTTTTTAATCAGGTAACTGGGGTCCCCATTTAATCATTGTTCCTACCAGCGTGATGTTGAACTGGGAGATGGAGTTGAAACGTTGGTGCCCCAGCTTTAAAATCCTTACTTACTATGGAGCCCAGAAAGAGAGGAAGCTCAAGCGGCAGGTTTGACTCTCCATGTGGTCACCTTGATCCATTGATGTCACATTGTGTTTTTAGGCCCTTTCCTCATATGAGTTTATTTTCCTGTTCTTTCTGCTGAGAGGTTTTCATTTCTTACATAGTATCTTACCTTGAGAACCTTAGCATCTCTTCTGTTTGCCCTAATTTTCCTTTTACTGTACTATTTATATTTACTTATTTTTTATGTATTTGGTACAGGGTCTCACTATGCAGACCAAACTTGTAGTGATCCTCCTATTGTCAACCTCCCCAGTACAGGGATTACAGGGATGCTGTAACACATCTGGTCTCTGTGGCTGGCTCTGTGGCTGTCCCCGTGGGTGGGGCAGGTGCAGCATGTGGTACCAGGGGTCAAACCCCGGTCCCTGTGCTTGCCTAAGTGTATTTTTTTTTTTTTTTTAAACAGTACTGGGGATTGAACTTGGGACCTTGGGCTTGCCAGGCAGGCACTTAAGCTATCTCCCCAGCCCTGTTTTTTCCTTCTGGTACTACAGATTGAAGACAGCCTTTGTGCTGAACTATCTGGCAATTTTTCCCCTTTTTGTCTTTTTTGAGACAGGGTCTTGCTATGCAGTTCATTCTGGCCTTGAGCTCAGTTTGTAGCCCACACTTGTCTAGAACTCGTAGTGATGCCCCTGCGTGCTGGGATTACAGGTGTGCACCTCCACACCTAAGTTTTTGTTTTTATTTTTGTTGTTGTTATTGTTTTGTTTTTGTTTTGAGACAGGGTCTTACTATCTAGTTCATTCAGGCCTTGAACTCACTGTGGAGCTCAGGCTGTCCTGGAACTTGTGGCAATCCTTCCTCAGCCTCCCGAGTGCTGAGTTTACAGGCATGTGCCCCATGCCTGGCCCCAAACTTGAGATCCTTTTGCCTCAGCCTCTTCAGAATGCTTAGGTTGTACGTGGTCACCATGTCTGCTTCATTCCACTGTCTTCTGCTGTCTCTAACCCCTTCCCCTTAGGGCTGGACCAAGCCCAACGCCTTCCATGTGTGTATCACATCTTACAAGCTGGTGCTGCAGGACCACCAGGCATTCCGTCGCAAGAACTGGCGCTATCTCATTCTAGATGAGGCTCAGAATATCAAGAACTTTAAGTCTCAGCGCTGGCAGTCACTGCTTAACTTCAACAGGTAGAGATGGAAATGACAATACATTGGAGGGTTGGTTTGGGTTGAGAAGTGTATTAGGGATGTTGGGAAAGTTTGGTTCTTCCTAACCATTCTCCTCCTGGTTCCCTCTTTTTGCAGTCAGAGGCGCCTGCTCCTCACAGGAACACCCTTGCAGAATAGCCTCATGGAGCTGTGGTCGTTGATGCACTTTTTGATGCCCCATGTCTTCCAGTCTCATCGAGAGTTCAAGGAATGGTTCTCTAATCCACTAACTGGCATGATTGAGGGCAGCCAAGAGTATAATGAAGGTCTAGTCAAACGACTCCATAAGGTAGGGGAACAGGATCTTTAACTTTTTTTTTTTTTTTTCTTTCCAGACCCGGGGATTGAACTCAGGCCCTTGCACTTGTCTGTCTG